TCCTTCTACACACGTTGCAAACGACATTTTGTCATTTGTATTTTAAGTCTGAGGATGGTGGCTTTGACTTACCAAAGCTAAAATACTGATGTAAATGACTCAATCCTTTCCTTTATGAATTCTTCTTTTTAAAAATAGAAAATCTTTCCCCAAACTGGTAAGAAAAATGGTCACCAAGACTTCCTTCTAATAGTTTTTGCTTTTTACATATTGAGTATTTAGCAAATGAATGTACTATGCTAATAGCTTTACAAATACTAGCTAATTTAATCCTCATAATCACCCTATTAGAGATCTTTCCTCTTTCTCATTTCATTAATAATGAAACTGAGGTTAGAGAGGTTAAATTACATGACTAAGGTAACACAGTTAATAAGATGCAGAACGAAGATTAAATGCTAAAGCAATTTTAAGCCATATTCATTCCACTGTGCTCACATCCATATTAAGACAGTTATGCTTTGCTGTAGGATTCTCTCATTATATCCCCACCCCTGAAAACAGCAGCCAGTTACTAAAGTATATAACTCTTCATTTAAGTTCAATAAATTGAAGTTCAATAGCAGTTGAAGTTAAATAAGCCCTTGTCCATGCCCCTGAATCAGTCCAAATACTTTCTTTTTTTTTTTAGGATAATAATATGGATATCTGTAAGTGTAATAAGCATGCCACTTGGCTTTAGGGTATGAACCTTGCTGGCTTGATTTTGCAGAACCAGACTAAAACACATTTTATTAGCTCCATAAGGCAAGAAGAAAAAGATCTGTGGAATAACTTCCACAAGAATCTACTGTAAGGATAATGCTCTCTCTCATTTTTTTTAGTTTTTCTTTTTATCATGTAGATAAAAACTGCTGACAACTGGTGCTTACATGCACACCAGATTCTTGATAATATTCCTCCTCCTCAAATTAAAAACCTCTTTAAGTTGCCCTAATTTTATTTATGTTATTATTACTGTAAGCATTCTCAGATTCTTTTTGAAAATAGGCAAAGAATAAATAGTATTCATTACAATTACTGCTGCTCGAAGCTATGAATTCAACAAATTCCTATGTCTGAATTCAGCAAATTACTATGGCATAATTTTAAGTGTGCTGTTCAGCACAAAGTAAAATTATGTAGATTGATATTACCTAAGTTGAAAAGGGCAAATTTGATGCTATACCCATATACTTTACTACAAAGTGGATCTGGAACATAGCATTATATTTTAGCCCCTTATTTATAAGCCTTTCAGAGTATCACATTAAAATTCAAATAATGAATTAATAAGGCTAACTAAGTCAAGTGGTTGAGAGCTCAGAAAGTTGTGGCAAGAACACCAGCCTTGCCAAAAGACTATATACCCAACAATAAATGTTGATGCTTCCTTCTTCTTCAATGTCAAAGCCTATCTCAAAAGAAGACATTTATTATACTTGCCCATTTTATTCTGTTGATAGAGTAATTAAAACTTCACATAATTAAACCCTTCATATGCTACTGTGTGCATGTTAATTAGAATAAAGTACTGCTTTTACCAATAAACCAGGCCTTATAGAGTCGGGCTGCATTTTACTGTGACTTTGATAATCCAGCTAAAAATTTTATTTACAAAATGTATGAACAGTAATTGCTTCCCTAAGTTCCAAGTCCCATTTAAAATTCCAGAGTTAAATTACTAAGGATTCTTGGCTTTGGTTCATTGTGAACCACACAAAAGTTGTTCTTACCTTTACACCTTGAATGAGACCATTCATGAGGAATGTGTGTTGAGGAAATGTGTCATGTAGAACCTACAAAAAGCAGGAAAAAAAAATCAGGACAAATTCAAAGGCAAAGTAAAGGGGAAGATTTCTGCCTTTGTTAATGGCAGGGTAGTTAACT